ATAAAACATCGACTATGTCAGAATAGTCTCTGCACCAGAGGTCTAAGTGTCACATTTCTGACCAAAGTGGTAAGTCCTCAGAAAATCCAGAATAGCCGGAATGTTTAGGAAACCTAATAAACTAAATTCTGGAATTCAAATACTTTTATTGGGTGTATTCACATCCTCTTAAAGTTACATGCCTAAATAATATGATCAACAACATGTGAGATTTTCTACGGGCTGCTGACACCTTGCTTTACTTTGAAATTGCCATTACTTCATTGCTAAAGAGTTTCCTGTCCTTCACCCTAACAGAACACTCCCTCCATTATCTCACCCTTGTTAGAAGCCAAGAAAAAGACGCAAGGCAATTGGCAAAGTTCACTGAATACAACCCCAGTGGTAAAAAGAGGAACATGCAGTTTTTTTGAATTTAGTCAGACATTATGATTTAGGATTTTCCCTGCTTTAAGCCATCACATCCACCTGCGCAATGGTGCCTGCAACCTGACCCATGCGGCAGTGGATCTCTGACCATGAGGTCAAACACTACAAAAAGCAGACCTTCAACCTCTCTGGCAGATGACACCAGAATACTTTTGCTGGCTTAGTTAAGGCAAACAGAAAAGTACAAGTGCTGACTACCAGTTTTCATAATGCTATGTATTATTCAAGTAACCAGAATAACCACCAGGACATTATTTAAGCAGTCATAAACCACCATAATGGCCCAAAGCAGAGCAAGAATAGGCAACTACTATGCCTTCGTCTGAATGTGGCCTTTGTGTGAGAGCATATGATTCTTTGCCCTTCCTGTGACAGCTGGCTTATTCCACGTGGATGACACAACCCACCGATATGATCCCATGTGTTACTGCAGGAGGCTGCACTGTAATATGTCCATGAATTTGCCTCATTATAAAACAGTGCAAGGTAACGAGCACACTGTGTGTAAACTATATGTAAGCTTTATAGCGTACCTCCAGCTTGTCCAAAGATTCCATCTCCCATTTCATGACTTTGACCTTAAACAGCTGAGGTCAGTTTTCTTGCCCTCACATGTCTTCAGTATGAACCTGAAGGCTATTGCAGTTGAATAAAAAAGTTCTTAAAGAGGAATATCTCACAGAGTCGGTGAATAATCTACTGCCTCTTTTTTGATGGTATTTTATTATATTTTTAGAAAATTTTAGAAAATATGTCATCATTGATAACGGAAGGGATCCTTGATTGGCAGACAACCTGCTGGTCTTCTAATCCAGAGACACTGTCTTCGATTCCCATTCAATTCTGTAGAGGCAATCAAGACAGTGCGTCAACATCCAGAGCCTTGAGGAACTCGAGAATCTCATCCATCCTAATGGTCCAGCCACTGGAGAGCTTTTTGATCACTTCAGCAGTCACTAAACTGCTCAGCACATCACCATATAGGTGTACACAGTATACTCATATGTTAACTGTTCATCAGCAATTAAGCTGATTAGGGAGGAATTAAAAGGGAACTCTGGACAGGATGAAAGACTTAGGATAAAGGAAGGATAAATTATGGTCACAGCTTGAAGATGTATTTGAGAGGGGAGCAGTAGTTGGGCTCAAACCTGTTATCACAATCCACAGGACAACTCTACATTGAACTGCACGAATGTAAACATAGTCACTGAGTGTGCACACTGATCTCAATCACACATGATTCGCCTGTTACTATACAATTTCATTGTAACAGAATTTAAAAGCACTAATTGCCATAGTTGACCATGTGTTGATTGAAACAACAATTTAAAACCAATACTTAATATTTCTTTGATAACACTGACCAGACGGGGTCTATTGAGAATGAAAGAACATAAAGCACACCAACTCTATCGTTTTATTAACACCCCCTTGCAGAAGGTGCCAAACAGGACAGGATTTTTTTTTTTAAAGAACATTGAGTGAAATCAAAAACCTTCTAGAACCAATCAAGAAACAGTCTGACAACTCAGCAGCCATTATGGATCGAATCTGAAAAGCTACTTTTAGACCACCATTCAAAGGAGAGAGCTATAACTTTAATTTCAAGGGTCACTGAGACACACAAACTGTATGTTTAAAGTGAAGTGAGACTGATCACTGTTTTAGTCTGTGCTTTTATGGCACACTTACTTAAACATAGAAGACTAATTTGTAGCTAAAGAACCAGATCTTTTCTCGGGGACTTGGTGGAGACCAAATCCAAACTAAAAGTAGATTTAAGCAATTTTTTTTCAAGTAGAAAAAAACATACAGAGTGAATGCTAATACTGTTTCCTAAGTACTAGGAAACAGTAATAGTGCTACAAGTAATACTTCTGATCAGTATTTAGTTGGCATCAACAGACCGAATAAAAGAAAAAACACTGACTTTTAATAAGAAATGCAGATTTATATTTTTACCAATGACTTAAACTTTGCACTTATGTTTATCTAAGGCCCATGTGATAGAGCTCCATTGTTGTAAGAAACTCAGTGAGTCACATCCCACATACACCATACTAGCTGACTGCATTTATATTTATACACAGCTGAAAACAGTCATCAATAAATGTGCTATTTTCCACTTGTTATATAAAAGTAGTAAGCCTTTTTAAAAAATGCACATTCTGACACATTTAACAGATTTATATTTTCAACAGGAACCAGTGAGGTTTAGAGTGATTTGCACATACTGGTTACTAACATGTGAGGCGCTATGGTCAGGGCAGATTGTGACAGAACATTAGAATAACACCAGCTTTATTTGACCTTTGTAGTTTCTGGTTTTATTTCTTATTATGAAATGTCATAGTAGTGCTAGTAAAGCGACCAGCACACAGATGGTTTGTTTACTGGCAAGTCTGGAATAGTGACAGGCGTCGTTGTGACTGCTGAGAGCAAGCCAACCATTACATCACACATCCAGGATACACTGTCCTTGGTGGGGACTGAGACACAGCCTAGAGTAGAGTGTATGTCTGTTCCTACTGACTCAGTGTTTACCTCTCATATCTGTAGTGCATTCTTGTGTACATGTCTTCTACATATATGCATCAATGTAGAAATGGAAGTGTGTGTGTGTGTGTGTGTGTGTGTGTGTGTGTGTGTGTGTGTGTGTGTGTGTGTGTGTGTACCCTCACCATCAAACTTAACAAGCTTTGTCACATTGTGATGGCAATGCAGCTCTATACAAAAAAGTAGTGCCTCTGTGTTAACAAAGCAACACGCTTTAGCTGAATTTGGAAAAGAAGGCAGTGGAGAGCAGCAGACATTTACAGGGTGTTTATGAGGAATGGCAGTAAGGCTTCTCTTTACAGCCAATTGGGTGGAGGTCAGTAATGAAAACTATATTTACTCCAGTACTTAAGCTTTGTTGTACTGAGATACTGTAGTAGTATTTTATGTTTTTGCATCATATTTTAACTTCATGACATTTATGTGATAGGTATAGCTACAAGTCAGTCAAAATTAATCAAAAACACGAACCAACAAAATATTCTAGTCATGTCATGTTACCTTACATAATAACATACAGTATCAGGTTTAAATTGGCTTAAACTCAACAAGCCAGTTACAGGGAGCCAAAATCTTGATGCTGTTTCAGAGCTGGCCACGCTTATAACGAGTTCTGTTTTTGTTTTTTTGTAAATAAAACTTCTCAAAATGTGACATGTTTCCGATGCTTGTTATTAAAAGATAAATATGCAGCACTTATTACTTGAATTTAACCAATTTTATATAAAATCCTGGAGCTCCCATCTCAATATCCATAATGATATCTTCAAGTTTGTCTGATATATTAGGTTGTAGTAAAATCAGCTGACTTGCTCTGTTTTACCTGCGTCTGAAATAGCCACTTGGCTCACTATTCTCATTCTTTTGATTTAGATCCATTTAACCAGTAACTGTGTAATGGTTATGTTTTTTGATAACAGCAGATAAAACTGTAAGTGTGATATAGCTAAGGTCATGGTACACTTCCTCACCATGGGCAGGTGAGGAAGTGTACATGTCTTTTTACCCTGTAGGTACTAGCTTTTCTTAAGAGATACTAGCAGCATCTTTTTTTGGTGAAAAAACCTTTAACACTGCAAAAATGGGCATTGACTCAGCTTTGCGCTAACTGAAGTGCACACGAATGAGAGTGAAGCTGTCACTTGCATGTATGTATGCATGCTATACATTTAAAATGACCAAGAAAAGGCAATGCAAGCTCACTTTCTTTCATTGAACTCAACAATGAATGAGAAGCCTCTTTAGCTCCTTTTTCTTTACTGCTAAATTTTAAACTTTATATATTCAAATCTACTATTAATATAAACATGTGTAATTTATCATACTACTTGCAGATAAGCTTGTTTTGAACTCTCACTGCAAACTATAAGTCATCATAGAGACATGAGAATATTAGTAGATGATTTACACAATAAAACATAAAACAACACAAAAGATGACAACTCCATAATTTGGTATAATACCAAAAACACTGTAAATACGTATTGGAATTATTATAGGGATTTCTTCTTAGCAACCTGCCCTCAGACCTTTGTAAGCAGCCCAAATGGCTAATGTCCCAGAGCTTGAGATGCGGGAAATGGACCAAAACAACAGTGTTGTTGCCAGGGATGTTGCAGGCAGGCTGCATATCAACCTGCAGTATAAGCATTCAGCTTGCTGCCACAGGCTTGTTGTCGTTCACATTCACATTCAAAGAGAAAGTGCCCTAAGCTCCAGACCAGGATTGCATAACAGGAGGGCGGCTTGGTTGTATTCAAAGTTCATTTTAATAGAAGCACATATATTCCTACACAAACACCCTGTATCGAGAACTAACTTAAAAATTATGTTCTAATGTCTGAGTTGCTGTTATTAAAGTAAAAAAACCCGATAGTATTTAGTATGTGAGTGATGAGTCCGCATTCCAGTGGTTGTAAAAGGTAAGTGATTATTAAATACAATCAATTCTGGTACCGGCAGGTGAACGCATCACAAACGGCTCATTTAAGGATATTAAAGGTCATTATTACCTTTCTCCTCTGGCATTGTCCTCCAGCTGTCAGCCCAAATGAGATATACTGTTACGTCCTTTGCTGATAATAATTACAGACAAAATCCCAGAAATCTGTTCAGAGTACACTGACTGTGTTGCGACACATCCTCTGAACACGCTGCAGCTCTGGTGAAATTACAGATGGAAGCACAGAGTGAGCGTGCTGCCCGTCGCTATCTGTGGAATGAGCAGTAGGTCATATGACTCTCTCTCTCTCCCTCTCTTTCTCACCTCTCTGAGGTATTGCAGCTATCTGTTATAAATAGAAGCATGTGGAGGTTTAAGAGAATGACACCTCTGAATGGTAATCTGTCACTGGGTGTGTCCCAGTCTTTCCAGTACACACCAAAATAACTTCTCACAGCTCAGTGATAAGCTAACTGGTTTTCAGTCTGTTCGGTGATAAAAGATGACGTTTGACAAAACAGTATTTATTATTATATCATTATATTGTTCCCCACATATTTTTAGGTTGGTGATGCAAAGGTTCAGAATATTTTCTATAACTGCTCCTGCAGATTAAACTAACACTTAGTTGTTGTCAGTTATATTTGGAAACTGTCTTTAACTCCCCCAGTTAATCTGACCTGGTATCTAAACAATATCCAAATAAGGTTTTATTGCTGTCGAGTCAAACCTGCTTTATAGACAGACACATAGGGACAGATCTAATGTACTGCACAGAGAGATAAATGGATAAATAATGTAAACATAGCATTTAGCTAGCAATGTTGCTAATTAAGGACAACTTAGATGAAATGTATTTAGTTGGTGATCTGCAACTTTTACCTGCCTGACTTGCATAAACACTTTTTAATGACTGACGACGTGTAGCGTGACTTAACTCTCTGAATGATGCTTCATGACTCCATAAACAATACTTACTGCCAAAACAAAATAGTTGCGTGATATAACTGAACAATGTATGCACAGTGTAAAGAAACAATGAGGTCATTCTTTATTCAGCAGGTGTAGGGTCACCTTAGGGTAATGGTAAGGATTTTGGATCCTCTCCATGTTTTGGGCCTCCATAAAACAATGGCCACTTCCTCAGTGGTTAAGTAATTACTCATTAGGTACTAAGCCAGGCGTTTATAATACAACTGAACCACCAGACGATTTGAGAGGAATATTCTGCCATTATCATAATAACTTTTACTCTGGATGGAATTACCTGGGCCTCCGGTAACACTGTGAGGAATCTTGGAGTTGTTTTTTATCAGGACGTGTACACTACGTGTACACATATAGGGTTTTGAATAATCAGGTCCTATCTTATCTTAAAAACCTCATATTACTGCATCACTCCATTAAAGCACTTCACTCACGCCCAACTAGTCACGGACGCCGCTCCCTGAGCGTAGTTCTGTTGGAGATTTCGTTCTGTTGAAAGGGAGTTTTTCCTTCCCACTGTAACCAAAGTGCCTGCTCATAGGTGGTCATATGATTGTTGGGTTTTTCTCTGTTTTATTTGTATTATTATAGGGTCTTTACCTTACAATATAAAGCACATTGAGACAGTTGCTGTTGTGATTTAGTGTTACATAAATAAAACTGAAATTTAATAATACATTTTCTTAAGTTAACATTTCTTAAGAGTTTAATGAATGTTTGGAAAAACATCGCAACATCTTGCATCTGAGTTCTTAATTTGCAATAGTGACAGGCATTTTTAAAGGTTTGAGTTTTCTCTGGCGATCTCCTAGACTTTACATATTTGCAACATCGAAAAGTCAGGATAAAATGTTCTGAGTGAAATGCTGTGACAGTTGGCAACATTAATGGTTCTCCTATAATGAATCAGTGTGACTTTTTTTTGGCATTGGACCGAGTTTATGATTGCAGCCTGCTAACCAAGCTAACTGGCATTAGCTGATAACTTAAAGTTATCGCTTTTATCCTAAATACTGGCTTCAAATAACCAACATGGTAACACCAAAAACTAATGTTAAAGCTTCAAAATTAGGAGTCCAACAGCACAATGGGTGATGTCACAATGGAACAATGAAATTGTACAATTTGTGCCTATGAAGGTACTGTATTCATGAACAGTGCACAAATTAAATGATATAAAAATGTTAGTTCAGTTCACCAGAAGAACTCTCATTATTACCTCTGCTTTTACAGCTACAACAGCACCGTAGTGCAGTCACTCTTCTGACCTGAGGACATTATCTAACCCAGCGGTCCCCAACCTTTTTTGCGCCACGGACCGGTTTATGCCCTACAATATTGTCACGGACCGGCTTTTAAGTTGTCGCGGATAAATACAACAAAATAAAACTAGTACCGGTGCAGAAAAAAGAAGATTTATTCATAACACACGTGAAAAGACCCAGGAAAACTGAGTTAACGATAAAAACGATAACAAAATAACGCTGAAAACCGATAAAAACCCTGAAAACCATACATTTCACACCTGAGCCTCAACTCTCGCGGCCCGGTACCAAACGACTCACGGACCGGCACCGGTCCGCAGCCCGGGGGTTGGGGACCGCTGATCTACCCCCTCTGGTTGATGACATAATACTTGCAAAACTGACAGCATCATGTGAAGTGCTAATTAACAAAGTTAGCACACTAACATGTTATGGCCACATGGTGAACATTCTCAAGATCTTGCTAACATCACCCAGCATGTTAGAACTAGCCCATGGTCTCCTGCTTGATCAACCTTTTAAGAGTATTCAGCATTAGCTTAAAAACAATGAATATCACTTGAACCCTGATACAATTAGGACAAGCACAGCATGCATTCAAATCCTTGACATGACAGGTGAATGCCTGTCAAACAGGACCAGCTTGAGCCCAAAGAGGAGGTTATTAAAAAAGTACCAAAAATAAAAGACCGGATGTACCAGAGGACTGCGTAACAACTGAGCTGCCTGTCAGTGAGCAGAGGCATATGCCAGAGATACTGAGCATTTAGTGTGGCCTCATTTCTTCTCTAACATTGGCTTTATTGTTTCTCACATATCTTTTAAAGGTGCCTTCTTTCTTTCCCTGACTTTTGAAGCTGTGATGGGTCATCACTGGAGCTCAGTAAATGGTAGAAAGCTTCAGGGTAACAGTGTGTATGGTGGACTGTGCCATGTGACTCAGCAGCAGGCACTGTGTGTCTGTGTTTATGCAAGAAAATACACAACATCTGCATTGCAAATTATCCAGTACCGCCTCTGCCAAGTGGCATCTACAACAAATTCAAAGGGAGACCAAGACAGAAAGTGCTGCTGCATCCAAATGAGCCGAAAATAATACCAGCCACAACACAATATACACACACATAATGACATGTATAAGGATCAGAATTCCAGACAAGATAATAAAAATGCAACTTCACAGTTTTGTCATAGGACTTTATGCAGAAAAAAGATACTGAAAGAAAAAAAATCATTCTGATCTTTACCCATCTAACAGAGAACACCAGCAATCTGGGTTTAACTTTAACCTCCTAAGACCCGAACTCTTCCACGGCATGCATTTTTAATTTCTCTTTGATATTTGGGCATATTGGGACCCGGTGAATGTAAAAACAAAGAATTATCAGTTTTGTTTTGTTTTTTTTACCTGATTTTTGTTTCTAAGAAAAATGAGAGCCACATATAAGGATATTTATTTTAAATTTCGATAGAACAGTAGCAGTATAATGTCCTCGTAAGTGGATATCAGCGCCCCTGTAGAGCACAATTGAGTATTTTGGTCTAAATAACCCAAAACGTGATGTCCACATATACGGGCGCCAGGTCCTAGGAGGTTAAAATAAAAACAAAACAAAAAAATTCAGCAATCTTCACTGTTAAGCAACTGCATTAACAAGAGAACAAACAAAGCAACAAAATAAAAAAGAAAGAAGAAAGAAAAAACTGCTCAGCCTGTGGAGTCTTTTGTAGCTTTGTCAGAATAAAGCACTGAAAGGCAAGAAGGCAGATATCTGCATAGACTTACATTTATATAAAACATCTCAGGTACAGAGAAATTCTTTATCCCTTCTTTCCTAAGTGGAGAGTTATGGCCTGGATTGGCTATAAGGATACTTTGGGTGAATTACTATTTAGATATAGTTTCTAAACATTTTTATTTGCTTCATTTATTTATTTATTTGCTTCAGGTGTTCTAACTAACTCACTGACTGCATTTGGCCCAAAACATCCTGTGCAAGTACACAAATCCTTCAAGCTATGAAAGATGCATTTCATAAACTTTTACATTCTGCAGTGGGTTCAATGAAAATCTTCACATAACAGAAGTTATAACAGCAAGAGAAATCCATTTCTTTGGATTTGCTTAAGCTCAACTCTTTCTGCTAACCAACTGCACTGAAGTCTATCTTTGGCTTCTTAATGACTAATTACTTGCCTAAGGACTGCTAATGAGAACGCACTGAGTATGATCAGTAAAGGTGGACATTCTTTTGGGGCCTTTGAATCCAGTTTATCATACCCGGGGTAGAGCAGGGTGATATAACCAAAAATATTTGTCACGATATACATTTGAAAATTTGCGATAACGATATAACTGACGATATAATTGACACTAGACAAAATGCTTTACATCTCCACAACTTTATTAGTGCAAAAAAACCATCAATGTATTTTCACTTAAACAAGCAGCTGTTTTTTATGTGCATTAAAGTTATATAAAAATGTAACAGTGCAAATTCCTTGCTGACAGTTTAACCAAAAGGCATTTCCAGTGGAAATTGGCCGACATATCCTCAGCATAACCATGTATAATATCCACAAAACTTAAAAAGAGGTTATACACACACAATACGGTAATATTATGTTGAAGCACAGTACGTATCACTCCGCGAGGCTCCTGCCTACGATAGCCGTAATGCTCGACAATCCATCAAGCGGTGCGGTTTCGTAGCTTAGCAAAGTTGTACTGAAACATTTGACAGATTTTCGAGCGCCGTGTACGACATAAAATCGTTTCGAGGTCAGTAAACACAACCAGAATTCATACATAAGGCACACGGGATTATAAGGGGCACTGTCGATTTTCAGAAAAATCAAAGGATTGATTTTAAGTGTGCCGTATTTTCCAAACAACACGGTAATAACGACGGCCCGCTAGCATGCTCTACCAAAAATAGTGCTTTGTTGTGTATCTGACGGACGAAAGCTAACCCAGTTCCACACTGAAGTTGCAGCATTTTTACAAACCAATTCTGGTTCATCTGTTTCATTCAACGATCCGCTTTCGCCCTTCTCATTCTCCATCGCCGCCATGCTTTTTCCGCCATGTGCGTATGAAAACAAAGGCACTGCGCATGCGCATTTTACCCATATTCTATCGCAATACTTCATTTTCTTATCGTTGCCCAACATTATACCGGTATTAACGTGAACGGTATGATATGGCCCAGCCCTAACTCGGGGTATCTGATATCTGTTATCGCCTACCTACCCTATCCTGTTTGCAATCAGCAATCAGGACAAGCAGTCACACAAAGCTTTTTATCATTTCACTAAAATAGCCGAGGGTTTCCCCTGCAGGCTCACATGAATATGATCAATCACAATTATGGATAGGATTGCTGGAAGCAGAGTCGCTAATTTTACAAAGGAAGATAAAACCATATTAGAAAAATGGCAAGCAGTAAAACACAGAATACAGGTTTGAAAGCAATAAAGCTGCTATAGACAAAGGAGCAGTGTCAGTGTGTGTGAGGGGAAAAGTACTATAGTATTAAAACCGCTGGTTGAACTTGTTTGTGCACTACAGCCCCATTGCTTGGTAAGAGTGAAAAAGACATTGACCTAGGACCTCACCATGAAACTTCGAGGGTTCAAAGTTCAGTTGGTTGACTTCACTGGGATATATGCATTTTTATGCCACTCACAGTCTGTGTATATAATAATAATAATAATAATGTAATAATGTATACTTTATGGATCCCCATGGGGAAATTCATCTCTGCATTTAACCCATTTACTCAGTGAAGCAGTGAATATATAAAGTTGCTACAAACAAGTTACTAAAATGTAGTAATACACAAGAGCCACTCTTTGACAGCAGGTACGCAGATAAGATATGGGAAGAACTGAGACCTTGACCTTGACTTTCTGCATTTTCCTAGATTTGTAACCAATTATATCACATATGAACAAGTATTTAATACTCTATGCTGCAGTTCTGTAACTCTCATAGGAAAGGTTAATACCTGACTAGCTCACAGCACTAAAGTGAACTGTGCTATCATAAAGAGCTTCACATCAAAGGTTTAGATGACTATAAAACTGGGGGTACTGGAGGGGCAGATAAAGGATAATGCCACAAGAAAACCCATTGAGGGATCATAGAACCTCCTTCTTTCTGTCTGCAAATATGTGTGTAAGCACCCGTGTGTGTGTGCCTCTGCAATGCACCATCACTGCTTATTCAAAGTCCAACTCCCATTTATAAAGAAGAGTTAAACCGCACTAAGCAAAAAGTAGTTCCCCTTTAGAAACACAAAACATGTCCTTTCCTCCAAG